GGGACTTCCGTGGTGGCGCAGTGGTTAAGACTCTGTGCTCCCAATGCAAGGGGGCTGGGGTCGATCCCTGGCCAGGGAACTAGATCCCACATGCGTGCGGCAACTAAGAGTTCGCATGCCACAACTAAGGAGGTTGCCTGCCGCAATTAAGGAGCCCATGAGCCACAACTAAGGAGCCCACCTGCCGCAACTAAGACCCAGTGCAACCAAATAAATAAATAAATATTTTTTTAAAAAAGAGAAAATCAAAACCTAAAAAGATGGGGGGACCACAAAATTTTAAAAAAAATACCTTATTGCTAAAAAATGCTAACCATCACCTGAGCCTTCAGCGAGTTGTAATCTTTTTGAAAAGTAACACCAGGGAATTCCCTGGTGGTCCAGTGGTTAGGACTCAGCACTTCCACTGCAGGGGGTACGGGTTCGATCCCTGGTGGGGGAACTAAGATCCCGCATGCTGCATGGCGTGGCCAAAAAAAAAAAGAAAAACAACATTAAAGATCACTGATCACAGATCATCATAACAAATATAATAATGATAAAGTCTGAAGTATTATGAGAATTACCAAAATGTGACACAGAGACATGAAGTGAGCAAATGCTGTTGGAAAGTTGGCAACAATTAGACTTGCTTGACACAGGGTTTGCCACAAACCTTCAACACCTTTCAATTTGTAACAGATGCAGTTTATCTGTGAAGTGCAACAAAATGAGGTATGCCTGTATTGCACACATGCTAATTCTTCCCAAAGAATGGATTCAATGCAACTCCGATAGAAATCCCAGCAGATACTGTGTAGTGTGTGTGTGTGTGTGTGTGTGTGTAAACTGACAAACTGGATTCTAAAACGTACGAGGGCCAGGAATACCCAAGACAGTCCGAAGAAAACCCAAGTAGGAGAACAGCTTCGTCTATAGGAGATCAAGAAAGCTACAGCTACAGAAACCAAGACTGTATGGTGCTGGTGCAGGAATAGACAGATGAATGGAACAAAATCCAGAGAGGGGCCTAAAGATGTGTGGAGACTTGAATTTTGACAAGGGTGGCTCTTAAGAGAGCCACAAAGTATGGGCTTTCCAATAAATGGTGCTGGGTCAGTTGGACATCCATGCAGAAAAAAATTACATGAGACCCCTACTTCATACTACCTTCATAATCAATTGCAGATTTGACATGTGAAGATGAAAGGAAAGACAATGCAGCTTTTAGAAGAGAACACAGAAGTTCTTCACGACTATAAGCAAATATATATATATATTTTTTTTTGGCGGG